TTTAACCTCTATCTTTGAGGCACATGTTACACAAAAAATCTTTATGGTTGTGTTTAAGAACATGTATTTGTATTTGAAATATGTATTTTAAATACATATAGTTGAAATATATGTATTTCAAAATATATTATTTGGATAGAAATAAGAAAAATGAATTTTAAATATATGTATTTTTAAATACATTATTTAAATATATTAAAATACTATGTATTTAAAATTGAATTTTTTCTATTAAGTTAAATCTTCTTTTAATCATTATTTAAATTTAATATGACCAAAGTTTAATAATTTTAATCTTCCAAAACATTATTTAAATTATCATGAGACAAACAAATTGGAAAAAAAAAAAAAAAGAAATAATGACCTCCACTAATTAATTTATTTTCGTGTTCTCCATTTTCTATTTCATTTTTTCATTATCATACAATATTCAATTTCTATAAAGATAAACTTATCATGAAAGAATTTTACTATAAACAATAAAAGAACAAAGTTGTATCTAGAATAATTATCAACTATATTTGCATAACAACTAATGTTTTGATATTCCTTCTAGAGAAGGTAAAGGATAATTTACAATCAAATTACCTTTTATGTTCCCTCTAAATATTACCTACAAGGTTGACGAATAAGGTTAACTCAAAGTTAATCTCAAAAATAAAAGAAAAACTCAACAAATTAACATAAATTAACATAAATCAACATCAAGAATAAGCTTGTACCAAAACAAATAATTAAAAATAAGTTTACTAATTAATCATTAAGTTAGTTATGTATCAAATTTATCATTAACCTAAACTCAAAAGGAAAACCAATTAATGATATTTTTTGTCGCCAAAAGTGATTTTAACAAATAAAATTATTTAAAATTATCATTTAATAGTAATTGGAGTATTTTGAATGTTTCTCGTTGAGAAGACTCAACTTTTGATATTGAAATTCATGGTGACATAAAATTTAAAAAAATTCCTCCCTTTTTTTAATATTTTAATTTTGATTATTTTTGGTATTGTATTTCCCTCATATATCTCACCCGCTCCATCCCATCCATCTCTACAACCTCACCTAAATCACCCAAAAATTACCTTTCCTTTCAAATATCAAATTTGGGTATTTCCTATGTAATCTGCATTTTCTCATGGTGTTTCTGTAATGGCTCAAAAAAACCCCATCTCTTTTTCACTCAGTAGAACAATCTCATTTCTCCATTTTCTTCTCACAATGAGTAGTACCCAAGCACCCAAATCTTCAAAACCCACAAAGCCCGCCACGCCACTTCGTCTTCCTCGTCGACCTCAGCAAAATCCTCGTCTCTTTCTTCTCACTTCACCATCGTAGAACTGAAGTAGCGCATTTTGACTTCCCTTTCCAACCTATCGGATCGGGATACGCAACAAATCGCCATTGAAGATCTGGAGAAGATTATCCAAAGCCCTTCCCTAGACAAGGTGAGAGAGCAACGGCAAAGTTGATGGTGAACAGAAGTGACGATGGAGGCTTCATCACCGTCTGCATTCGAAGAAAGTGCATAGGAAATTCACTTTGAAATTGAAATTCATGGGTTTAAAAATGAATTTGAAATACACAAAATTTATGTCTTTTAAATACACAGAATAAAATATATGTATTTTACTTAAATTTAATTATATATTATTTAGATAAAAATAAATAATAATATTAAATTTAAAATATCTAAATTTAAATACATTATATCAAATTCACGTTGTCAATTAGAATGGGTAAGAAGTGAATTTCCACTAAATTAAAAGCAGACAACGACATTACGTGATTGAGCATCCCGAGGTTGACGGGATAATTAGGGTAGGAGTTAGTGTCAAAAGTGGAGTAGCCAATTCCCTAAATTTTTGAAAAATATCAAATATGATACATTAATTTTTATTTTATATAAAATTTTATTTTTAAAATTTAAATTATAGGGACAATTTCAAATATAAATAAGGCATTTAGGAACCAAGTAAATGCATTATGTCTCTCTTTGTGATTTGTGATCTTAACCTTGAAGTAACATTTTACATTTATGGTTGTCATGTGTATGACCCACATACAAAACAACTTCTCAGAACTAATCGCAAGATAGGGCATATGATTGAGCTCAATTATCTGTATATTCCACATCATAAAATGGATACACCATCATTTTCAAATGATCACTTCATCTAAACCTTACTTTGTACTATTAAGTTAGAGTGTTTACAAATAACATATCAACAAATTTTGCAAACCTATGTTGCCACTAACATTTCTCCTCTCCATTTGGCATTCACGACTCAGACATATTTCAGTCGATAAACTTCATCCTCTTATCTCTCATGGTTTATTAGGATTTGTTTTAAATGAATTCTTGTATTATGTGTCATGACAATCTACAAAACAAGTAGTTTTATCATTTTCAAGCAGTCATTTTCTTTCTGTTACTCCTTTTGATCTTGTGCATTCTGACATTTGGAGTCTATCTCCTACATCCACCATGGGGGTTCTAAGTACTTTATATTATTTATTGATGATCATACTTTTTTACCTAGATATATCTTATGAAAAATGGCTCTAATGAAATTGAGCACAATTTTGCAAAGCAATAGCTTGCTTGCTTCTCGAGAAAGGATGGGAAACATGCTCAATATCATTTGATTGAATAATTGACCTAGCTCCTTGTTTTTTGAAGAAATCCTCCACTTCAATTGGTACTTTTTCATGAAAACCAAACATGAGATAACAAATCCAGCCTTTCACTAAGATATCAAATAACTGTCCCGAATTCAAGTTGATTTTGTTTTGCCTCCTCTATTTCTGTCAAAGGGTAATATGAATATTATATCATATTCTATTAACACACTAAAAGGATTATACGATACCTCTGGTGTGAACGTCAGCCAACATTTATATCGGCAAATCAAAGCTTTCCAAGTCCATGCCCAAGTCCTTATTACTTCTTGGGTTGTAATTGCTATCTTATCAAGTTCCGTCATTATCGCTGCTTGGAATCCACAAACCATTCTAGCCAACGGTCAAAATTTCTTTGAATATATGTTTTTGAATTCATTTGAGACGTGAGCCAAACTCAGATTGGAGAAGAATATGGTCCATGCATAAAAAATACTTTTTTTTAGTCATTCTATTAATTAATCCATTAAGTATGTTTATTTATACACATTTTTAGTCCTTAAACTTTTAAATTGAGAAACAAAAATTGTGAAAATTCCTAAAATTAAGAGACTAAAAATATGTATATATAGATAACTTTAACAGATTAATTGATGAAAGACTAATAAAAGTACATGTTTCATAATTAATGGAACAAAAAAAAGTATAAAAAATTAAGAAACCAAAATTACGCAAAATCTTAATGTTAAGAGACTCAATTTGCATTTAACCTAACGGAATTATTTCCCAGTTATGAGACCTTTTTTCAGGAGAATGCAAAAGAGTAGTTTGCCCTTTCCTTCGCACACGGTTTATGTAGAAAATGATTAATAGTTCTGGTTTTTTTTTTTAATCGAATGATGAATTATATAAAAGAAAATAATTCTTCATTTTTTTAAAAAAAATTGAAGAATTATCATTCAAATGTTATTTAAAATTACATAAGAAAATAAACAAATTATATTTTAAAAAGAAAGGGAGTAACCAAAGAAGTATCTAAACTATCATGATAATGCATGCTAAAACTTAGGAAAAAAATTTTTTGATTAGTGACGGAAAGTCTCACTCACAATTCTTTATTAAGATAAAAGTAACATACATTTTTGCTAACAAATAAAACCCACCTGCATCATTCACTAAACACAGCAGCTTTTATATATTTTAAGATTAATTTTTTCTATTAATCTTTAAAAACACTTTATATTGGCTTGTTACATTTATGAGAATTAATTTTCTTAAATGTTGATTTCAAAATTTAAATTATAAATCTAATTCATAAAATAACAGTTAATTATTATTAAATTTAATTTAACTTGGCTGGATTCCAAACAGAGTCTTGTTATTAGTATTTACATGATTGAGCAGTCTTGTTGAGTTTCTCCACAACCGCTTCCATGCACGCACCAGCTGTCGCAAACGAGTCTCCCATAACACAGAACGCATTGGACCTGCCCGCCACAGGAACATGGGCCCCAAGGCCTTCCGCTACAGCATTTACAATAACACAGAACGCATTGGAATTGCCCGCCACAGGAACATGGGCCCCTAGGCCTTCCGCTACAGCATTTACAATAAATAGACCCCTGGACTTGTACATCTACAGATACTTTCACAGGCTTTGGCTTAGGCTCAGGCTCAGGCTCAGGCTTAGGAGGAGGCGGAGGCCTAGGCTTAGGCGGAGGCGGAGGCGGAGGCTTAGGCGGAGGCGGCTTTACGATCTCAATGCTCTTGATGCATCTACCACCCTTGCAGCATAACTTGTCCCTGATATTCTCCAGCGAGCTGCTCACCACCTTAATTGTCACCTTGTTTGCTTTCTCATCATACGTCTGATCTCGTATTTCTTTAATTAATTTGTTCACAACACAACGACTCAGTCCGTTACG